CAAGAGGGCGTACGCATGCCGAGCAGAGCACGAGAATGAGGATGATGATGACGACGATGACGAGGATGATGATGATGAGCATGGTATGATTTGACGATGAGGGTTTTCGTTGGCCTTTTGCTAGCTAGGGATGAACCCATAGCACTGTTTTCAGACAGTAAGAGTACAAGTAATTCGAGTACTTGCTGACCGTAGTACCGGCACTTGATAATGCCATTACTGTTTGATGAAAATACATAGAACAACATCGCTACAAAGCTGCTGGAATATAACTTTATTTTTCGCAGTGTTATAATAATGCATACCTGGGATAAGGATAGACCGATTACACTGGTTCTTGGCAAATCAAAATCAGAAATGGCTTTGCGTCTCTAAACAATTTTTTGATGACAAAAAAAAAATACGTTTTTTTTTTTCCTACCACATCGGGTTATTTGCATATTTTTGTTTTTAAGTATGGCCTATAAGGCTTGGGCAAAATGGATTTTTACCATGCAATGTAATTCATAACGGACATTTGAGGGAAAAAAAATACACCTTTTGCGCAACCTTATCCATAATTCATAAATATTACTAAATACATTATTGTATGAAATATTATTATTATTATGAAAACCATTGTGATATAAAACAGTAGTAGTCCGTGGACCGCTACCGGGCCATGGCCCATTTGGGACTGGGCCACACGAAGCCAAACCTGTGAGCAAATTTATTCCATCAGCGCCAATATTCTTCATTTCTGCACATATTGGCATCGACCTTTTAACGATATTTATAATTACATATGGGTGAAAAGGCCTGTACCCAAAATGTAATGAGCAATACACATTGCGTCTATGATTAATTTGAAATGGTTTTTTTTTTTTTTTTTTTTTTTTTGCGAGCATTAGATCGAAGATGGGTTCGAACTCTGCATGTGACAGCTCTTTGCATTCATGAAAAACTGCCCCGAGGAAATGAAGACAAACACTAATAACATGTATTTTCATTCTTTGTCTAACTGGTTTTACTTGCTTCCTTGTGCGATTTATTACAAAGAACTTTTCATCCACACTTAATTTTGTTACACTTCATTGTTTGTATTATTTATACTTCACTGGTTAAATATTATACCGTGTATTTTGTGTTCAAACCTCCTAGGCTCATTTGTTTTAAATTCATGATTTTTTTTGGGGTCAAAATTACTATTTTAAAAAAAAAGTTTGATTAAAAAGAGATTTTGTTACTCAATTTACTTTTACAAGAGCAAGACGTGCTGTATCTGCACCAATACAGTGCATCCCTAATTACTGTACGTCTGGAAAGCGCTTTGGTGTTTCGAGTGATGGTTTCAACCTTTGTTCTGTTTGTAGCTGAGCTAGGCAGCGATGAGGACGACATTGACGAGGAAGGTCAGGAATACCTGGAGATGCTTGCCAAGCAGGCCGGAGAGGACGGAGACGACGAAGACTGGGAGGAAGACGATGCGGAGGAGACTGCACTCGAGGGCTACACTACTGCTGTAGACGATGAAGACAACTTGGTGGATGAGTACCAGATCTTTAAAGCCATACTACAGAGTAAGGCAGCCACTCAAATGCAACGAGCAGTATCGCTTTCACTCTCTGTAAGTTGCATGCGTCACATTTGAATGATCGGCACTCTTCCGCAGGTATCCAGACGCGTGACCCGGCGTGGTACCAAGCACTAACTCAAGTACTTGATGAAGAACAAGGGAAACAGCTTCTTGACATTGGCACACTTGCAGACCAGAGACGGGCAGCACATGGTGAGTGTGCAGTTGGTTTCCAGTCATTAAAAGGAGATTTCGCAGATTTATTATGTACCACAGGCACACGACACCGCCTGGCAGCGCAAAGTGCCAATGACAGGGAGCCCACTGTGCTTCACACCCTCACTTTGAGTAGCGTTAAGATGATGCGAATCGGGGCCTACAGTCGAGCTAATGATAGCCAAGATGCATGTTTGTGGAGGCTCCTCGTAGTTGCTCTTTTTTATTTTATTTTTTGTACTATTTCCTTGCTTGTGCTGCGAACATTTGCTACACCCGCCAGGAATCTAGAGAGACTGAAGAGTGCCTTTCATTACTCGCATAACAGACCAGGATGACAGCGAGACCAACATACATGCCTAAAACAGATTTCCCACTGGACCACTTCGTGCATCAACTCGCTTTAAATACAGATATCTGTCATTTCCCATCATATGAGACATGCTTAACTTGCACCCTTTTTAGAGTGATGATTGTGCTGTATAACATGTATAATATACTTAACATTACTGAGAACAGTCCAACAAATGTTAAAAAAAATAATTCTTCTAATATAATTACATTTATGTAATTCATATTCTTAGTTGTTCGTTTGGAGATGTAAATGTTATTTTTTGCGGACCGGTGAAAATATTTGATCACTGCAACTTGTGTTGTGCTAAGATGTAACATGTGTGACTTGTGTTTCAGCAAGCTTGAACAAAGTAATGACTTGACTCGACTGAAGTTTTGTGGTGACACAACTCGCTTGATTTCCACACGCGTGCGTGCACACACCCTTTTTCAGTAACTAGTGACTTGAAACTTGAAGGCACGTATAAACCTTTTGTCATCCAATGGAAGACATTTTCTGCATATCATTTTACACCGCTTGCATAGATGTCAGATGTATATTTCCGATGAATTAAAAAAAAAAACAATAGTAATTAATAATTCTTTGAGAATACTTTTTGATCTCATTCTTTCACTTTTAACTCAACAAGACATAATTGATCTTCACAATAAGTCAAATGTGTACCAAACCGAAAACGGCGACCAGAAAATGGAGATACGAACCGAACCGTGGGTTGCGCACATGCCCATTTGATAGGAAGTAACACCTTGTTGTAACTAAGCTTTCTCCTTTCAACTTTCAGAATCCAGGATGATCGAGAAACATGGCGGATACAGGTTCACAGCGCCAGTGGTGCCACCTAGTTTTGACTTTGGAGGCACCACTCCTGGAATGAATTGAGTCACCATCTCTACTTTTTATTACTCTGTGACTGATTGTAGTGAAGTGAAAAAAAAAGCTTGTGTTGTTCCCTTAAGTAGTGGTTCCAGAACTGGTTCTTCTCAGTCATTCTTCAATCTTATCAAATGGGGGAAATAGCACGAGAAGATGCGGGAGAGCAACCAAAATGCAACCAATGGCTGGGGAAAACAAACCAAGAACTTGAGCACGATGCAAGAGGAAATGCTCTGAGCAACACTGTCTTCTGGAGTCCAGTGAAGAGGGCTGTCACGATGACAACTCTTTTCTGTAATTTTTTTTTCTCCCCACTGAAACAAAATTGGAGGATTAACCTTGAAATTGATAATGGGACTAAATATTACATTATCACTGTCTTGGCCACATGGCCGTAAAAAGATTATACCTCTGGTAGTGGTGATCTGTTGTTTTCAGCATAAACGGTCCGGTTTATGTACATACAAGCCAAGGTTATTGATTTTTCAAGTAGCCTTGAAAAGCAACCAGAGGCGTTTATAAGGTGTCAACAGCTGTATTCATATGTAGCATATTGGATACTTCACAGCGCTATGCGATGCCTGATCTCTGTAAATTAATGACTAGCACTTTCATATTGTTCAGGTCTCCTAGCCTTCTGTATCAGACTGCAATTTTTTTTAAGAATTGAAGACTATTTAAAATGAACTCAGCTGTAAGTTTGTTGCCACAGCTGCTTGTCTGCATACAGAGCGGATCCGGGATTGGGGGGGCAACTCGGAAAAAAATTCTGCTAGAGGAGAATGTTCTTGGTGTTCAGTATGGCTAAGAGGACAGGTGTTTGTGAGCACTGAAAAGTACAGTTGATTACATTACTGAAGCATGTACAATTGGACTTTACATAAAGGTCTCAAGCATTTGGTTGATGTATGGATGAACCATCTATATAACAACATATTAAAAACAAAGCTAAGGGAATGTATGTCCCACACGTTTCGTTACTTTCATTATGCGATCATGGTTTTTCTTTTTTTTTTTTTTTTTTTTTTTGTATTATACACTCACTGGCACAAATATAGCAAGTATCAGTTTGACTTTGAAAAATAATGCTCACTAGTATTTGAAATAATTAAAAAGGATCTATGGCCAATGATTATCCCACAGCATCTGTTTTTCATCAACAGCGACCTTGGCATGAACACAAATTAATGTCCATTCTTTTGACAACTGACACACCTGTCCCAATAACCAATTTTGGAACTTGCTGTACTTCCTCCATTCCATAGACTGCTAAAAATTGTAAAACTATAGCACTTGTTTATTTGGTATTTCCGGTAAAACACTCCTAAGTACTCTGCTGAAAAAGGAATCCAGATAATATAGATGCATCCCACATAATCTTAGGCCAAATGTTATTTACGTAATTCATAATAGAAACACTGCATGTTTCATCACATTCGCGCCATTTTTATTGTGGCCAAAATTAAACGTCTTAAGAAATTAGCAAGAATCCACTTTGAATGGAGAAATCAGGTTGGAATTTGCTCTCTTTAAAAAGTATCTTCATGTGTTGAGTGAATTAATGGATCTGACTTGTTTGATTTGACCTACAAATGGCTATTCAGAATTTGAGGATAATTTCTTCCTCCGAAATGTCAAATAGTGCATTGTAAGCACGCGACCTGAGATAAAACTAAACAATCTAAAGCAGTGTTTCTTAACATTTATATGGTGAAGGTCCGCGTTTCACATTTTATCACTTTACTAAAATAATGCGCCTAGTCATTTATTTTCCGGAAAAATTGAACCAAGTACTCAGTTTTGATTTCAATTCAGGGTACAATTGACTGAACTGTTAAACTAATAATGTAGCCGGTTTTGACCAGAGGTGGCCTTTATAACGGGCCGTTTCATGCAAAAAAAGATCTTAGCAGACGTAGTGTTCCAAACGTAGCACAAGATGGCGCTATCACCAAGCTTTGTCGGGCAGGACAAGAGACGGGAGGACGGCACCACGAATAGACTCGCACATGCATGAACTGCCAAGAGGCACGAACCCTCGAACACACTCACGGGCTCCCAGACTTGAGAGTGAAATGTGGTTTCGCGAAGACCTTTTAAAGTCCATATGGCACGCTTTCACAGCCCTGGACGTGGACCAGCGTGGGAAAGTGTCCAAGTCTCAGTTAAAGGTGAGCGCCATCCCATTGCTGCTCATCGTCGCGTTTCATTCAATTAACTAATTTTTTGTACATGATAACATTGCACACACACGAATGTAAGTATTGTGGCTTGTTAACAGTTAAAAAAATAATACAGGTGCTTACAGTAAACGTACTTTTCCAGCGTACATAACCAGTTGTAGTCTCTTTAAATAATGGAATTGATTGATTGTCGAACACAGGTAACATTTTCCTTTCAAACAAGTTTGACTCACAAGCCAAAAAAAGCGCTCTTAAAACCATCTTCACAAAAATGGGACATGATAGCAGGCTGTCCTAGACAAGGGCACATTAAGAACTAATTGTCCACATATCTAGAAAACAACAAGTCTGCCATCTACTGCGAAATCAGAAAGTTTCCACTGATAGGTTGAATAAACATTAACTTCTTCATCCGGATTTAAAGTACCATGGGACTGCAGTTATAGGATATTATTATAATCAGTTATTATATCCGTTATTTTATCGAATAAAAAAGCAAAAAGAAAAAAAGTGTTGTTCATTGTTTTCCCAAAGAAAAATCTGATGTTTGCTACTGTCTTATTTTGATGAAATAGCCGTAATAAGGTATCAGCTTTTATTGAGGACTACATAAATGAGAAAATATAGTAGTTACTGTTGATGAGATACTAAAAATCAGCATTTGGACAATGTTAAGATAATGACTCTAAAGGATTCATCGATTAATTTGGTTCATTCTTGATTAGTTGTTGATTAAATGTTGCACTTCTAATACTGTAAATTGTAGTGTTTATACACACCCGTTCAGAAACATTTGGAAAGAAAAGCCGTTTTCTATTTTTTTGTATTATGATTGTTTTTAATACTTTGTATCTTCAATCAGCACTTGTAGACCAGCCTGCGGCATACTTTGCAGTTTTTCTGTGAAAGAGTCCACCATCCCATCAACTGTCAAATGTATGACTGCTGATGCGAAGACGCAGCCCTGTATCATAGTTCTCATGGTAACTGCTCAAGAAGTGACATTTAATTCCGCTCAATGTTTCTGAGAACAGAACGGTGTCATTGCTTGGTCAGTCATGCCTGAATAAGGCCTCCCTATTTTGCATTTGCGTAACCGTAACACATTTACGCTCTTGAACACTTTTGTGTTCATATTGACACAGTTGAATATGTTCTGTGTGCTTTTTTTTTAGGTGCTGTCTCATAGCCTGTGCACCGTCATGAAGATTCCTCATGACCCCTTGGCTCTCGAGGAGCATTTTAAAGATGATGATAAAGGGCCTCTCTCCAACCAGGGCTATATGCCCTACCTCAATAGGTTCATTCTTGACAAGGTGGGGCAGTTCTCAGTGAATGCACTCTCTCAACTAGTCAAACTATTTCTATAAATCGAGATTATAGCCTGACTGAAATGTACTCTGATAAACATGTCTCACATGATTAAAAGTTCATTTGACAAGAGTCCTCTAAATAACTGTAATAAGTGTAACCTTTAACTGGAACGTCGAAAGCCGAACGCATATCCCAAATTTTAAACCGTCTTTTCTAATTAGAAATTATGAAAATAAAAATCATCTGCTCTCTAGTCTTGCAACAATCATATAAACTTCACCTGTACAAGCATTTTTTAAAAATAACGTTTTGATATTAACTATCATCCATTCATCCGTTTTTTTTAATCAGCGTATCCTCATGAAGGTCGCGGGTGTGCTGGAGCCTATCCCAACTGTCTCCGGGCACAGAGAGACAAACCTCCATTCGCGCTCACGAGCACACCTCGTGTTCACTACCGTCAATATTAACACGTGAAACTTTTATTATTATCATCATTCATTTTATTTATAAATGACAAACATATATAACGATGGTGAGTTTCAAACCTTTCATAAAGGAGACATGATCATTTTTTTCTCACAATTTCATGCAATTCCCAGGTGCAACGTTTCTGTTACGTACTTTTGTTAAAGTATGCCAAGGGTCAGGAATTATAGCACAATTTAAAGTAACTCTTTTTGTCTTGATGCAATTAGCCTCTTTTGAGGGGGTGGTCAGTCTCATACAAGCGAGCCCATGCCTATCCAGCATCACATACTCCTAAGCCAGTGACGAGCATGTATTTATTTTGTTACCATGATGACTCGGTGCAGAACAAATGATGGCTGCACTTTGAACCCTGAATCTAAAATAGCGAGTGCCAACTTCAATGCACAGACTTGCCACCAAAAAGACAGCGTGCGATGTGTTTTTCCTCACAGAGGTAGCACTTCATCGGCCGCACTTCATTGGCCTTTTCAATCCAATGGCCGTTAAGAGATCGATTTCAACCCGCGTTAACGTCAGGGAGCTATGTATGTCTATTTTTAAAATTTCAGTGAAACTTATCAGATATGCTGCTGAGCCTGGTTTTATCATTCTTCTCTTCCATTGTAATCAAAAAGGTAGCACGGTTATATCCTTTCATCCATTTTTTTCTGTACTGTGTATCCATCTTGGGAACTAATGCGACAAGAAGTACATTTGTAGTAAGACATAGCTGCAAGTTTAGTCCTCTCCAGAGCCGTTTCTCACTCATTTGAAGCAAAATGAGTGAGGTGCCATAGTTTCTCTCTTTGTAGTTGGAGGCTGTTTACTTGCTTCTCCCTGCTGGGCTCTGACTTGAATTAAAATGAGGCCTTTTAACTGCTTTGGGGAGTTGCACAAACACTGGAGACTCCTTGAGGTAGATTTGCAAAGTTGCAAGAGTTATCGCTGTCTTTACACGGATAATAATACTCAGTTTGGATTAGAAAAGTGCAAATATAACAAAATGTTTGTTTGTTTGTTTGTTTTTGTGTGTTATACGAATAAAATGACACACCATCATACTAACTGGTGTTAGTCATGTTTTCGATTTGATCAAAACAGAGCATTGTCATCTTTGTAAAGGCATCGTTGTTAAAACGGTATCGTCACTAGCGTGTAAGTACCGAATTCTGCTTTTTTTCAAGTGCAGGTACAAGAGGATTTTGATGTGCTGGAGTTCAACAAGATGTGCTGGACGCTGTGTCACAAGAAAAACATCTGCACAAGCAATCTCCTCATTTCAAACTACGACGCCTTTAAAATCTGGTGCATTTTCAACTTCCTTTCTGAAGACAAGTACCCACTTGTCATTGTGACCGAGGAGGTGAGAGGGTCTTGCTTCTATCTGCTTCCTCTCTCTTATTATATTTGCGCTTTAGCTTCTGAGAGTTGCCACCGTGTCTTTAGTTGGAGTACTTCCTGCAAAAGCTAACGGACGCCATGGCGAGCGGATGGAGCGAGGAGAACCTTTCGGATGCCAAGCTCCAGCTGAGCAGCAGACGCTTCCTGACCGTGTGGGAGATGATCCAACTGGTGGGAACAGGTGCCTTCAGCAAGGGCATGCACCAGCAAAGTCTTTCGATGGGCATCAACGAGGTCTTCCAGGAGCTCATACTGGACGTGATAAAGCAGGTCGGAACTGAGAGGTCTACGATGACTTGTCAATGCAGAGAATTAAATCTTTCGTCTATCTCATGGGCAGTGGTTCTGAAATTGATGACACCGAGTGCCATCTATACAATACCCGACGTCATGACCAACATGAATGAACATAGGTAGTTTGGCAGTATTCCTTAAAAATGAATTTCGCATGATTGGAAGCCACTGCCACAACAAATCCCACACTGTGCCAGCCCATTCTTTCCCCCAGTAAGTGACTCTTAAAATATTATTAATGTCTACTGATGAATGCTGTCTGTGTATTTAAAGGGCTACATGATGAAAAAAGGCCATAAGCGGAAGAACTGGACAGAGCGCTGGTTTGTGCTGCGACCCACCTCAATGTCATACTACCTTTGTGAGGATCTTGTTGATATGAAAGGTCACATCACACTGGAACAAAACTGCTCCGTGGAGGTACATTATCCCACGTTTTACTTTGTGCGATGGTGAACGGCAGAGCCGAAACACGATCAGAAGCCTAAATTTCAACATAACCTTGACATTCCTATTTCTTGACATTTCATTCATTCCTAACAGTCTCGTCCCTCCACTTCGTAGCATTTCTCTTGACTGCGCTGCTTCAGCAGTGTGTTTGCAAATGTTATTTATTTATTTTGGTCCAATTCCATTTCAGTCTGTATGTGTTGCCATGCCAATTTCCTCTGCACGGGGCCTTCAGAATGACTTGTGTTGGCTGATATGACTTAAACCAAGGGTGTCAAACACTTTTTTGTCATGGGCCACATTGTAGTTACTGTTTCCCTTGAAGGGGCCGGTATGACCATATAAAGAAGTCAAGAATAACGGTTTATTCAATTATTGTTTAACTTACTGTAATGAGGGTTTGATCACTAGAAAATGCTTATAATATCTCTCTTATTTATTCCATATGAGTATTTGAAATTACAGATTTGAGCAAGCATCATAGAAGTTGACATGTAGGATTTGCTTTCGCGGGCCACATAAAATGATGTGGCGGGCCAGATATGGCCCCCGGGCCTTGAGTTTGACACACGTGATGATTCATAGTGTGACTGTTTCTTTAACCAATCAGATTTGGCCCTTTATTGGTTGGTCAGAGGAAAACTTGGCTCCAGCAAAGTGTGGCTTGCAAAAAAATCCACAACAATCTGCACACATGAATAATTTAAGAATCAGCATCACTTGCCGCCATTTAAAGTGCCACTCATTACAGTTCAGCTGTCGTAATAGGCTTGGCATGACATTTTTATTTATTAATTTTTTTTTTTTTGCTTTCTAGCTCTAAGCCTACAGGTTTTGTGCTAACACTGACTGACATTTAGAACTCATCATAATTTCCTCTACCTTGACTAAGGCCTATGTAGACTTTTTACGATAGAGTATACACACTGCAGTTGCATGCTTTTATATTGCTTTTTTTTGGTTCCATTTGAGTAATGGTTTATCTAATTGCGATGTTACAGTGGTGGAATTAGGAAGTGGATAAAAAACAAAAAAACAAATAGAAATAACGTTCTCTCCTAAAGTCTCTCCCAGACAGAGAAACAAAGAAATGTCTGTTCATCATCAAGTGCCCCAATAAAAGCTTTGAGATCAGCGCATCTGATAAAAAGAAGAAGCTGGAATGGATTCAAGGTAGAAGACGTTCATTTCCACAATGAAGAGACTGAACAAAGTCACCGGGTGCTATTTTTGCCTTTCGTACTTATTTTATATGAAACATGATTTCAACGCACACTGAAAATTGAATAAATTGTTGAGTTGAGTTGGGTTGTCTGCCAAGGAAATTCCCAACATTATTCTGTAACCGATTTGTTTGCGAGAACACAAGTCATTTCCCCGCCGCTTTTTCTGTGAATATTTGACTGGAGCTCCGTCTCCCTTTATCACCTGGCAGCTATTCAAAGCTGCATCCAGCTGCTGAGGTTGGGGCTGCCCTCCCCTCATCGCGAGGCCAGGCTGAGGCGCCGCGAGCTGCGGCAGAGGCAGCGGGAGAAGGACGACGACCTGGCCGAGAGGATGAAGCAGCTCCAGGCGGCCAACGACAGCAACCAGATGCAGCTGGACGTCATGAGGAAGGTGCCGCTTTGATGACACATTGACAGAGAAATAGAAGTTAGTCACAGATTCCATTCAGAACTCGGTCTGGAGTGCTTTACTGCAGCGTGAGTGCCACACACGAGGACGCACTGAAAACAGTGTAGTGTACATATTTCTTTTTCGACTAACCCACTATTTCTTTTAATCCAAAAAAAGTTGAAACTGGCTGAATGTATGCTTAGCTGTAAGCTTCATTCGAGTGAACGAAGTACATTTCCTTGGTATTTTATTTCCGTGATCATTCATACGATGTATTTGTGAATCAAATGGAAATGACATCAAATGTCTTGTTTAAGTCTGCTTTATTTCTGTAGCGTCAATTGAATATGGACGTGATCTCAAGGCAGATTCCATTTCAAACAGTCCAGGATTACACTGTCAACCACACACACACACACACACACACACACACACACACACACACACACACACACACACACACACACACACACTAAAGAGGGAAAAGAAAACTCTA